ATAGCTAACTTTGACTGTGTTACGGTTGAATATTTTGTGCAAAGGACTTGTAGGTGGGAAGTGTTTATCGAGAAGCTGTAGGAAATTCCGCGCGATGTTGGGTTTAACGGATTTGCTGAACGGGGGGTTGAACCAGATAATGTTCCTTTGGCGCCTTCGTTTCGTAGATGGTGGAGAAGAAGGGCTGTTGGGTGAATATTCCAAAGAAACATTGTAATTGCTGTGTTTAAGTGCGCTTTCATAGAAAGGTTTGCATTCATCGAAGGATTGTTGGTCAGATGAAAGGGAAGAGATTCGCTTGTTAATTGAGACAGGAATTTGCTTTAGAATGGATGGTGGATGGTTAGATCGGCTGTCAACGTAAAGTGGTTGCGGGCCAACAATCCTTCGATGAATGCAAACCTTTCTACGAAAGCGCACTTAAACACAGCAATTACAAAGAAACATTATCTGGTTCAACCCCCCGTTCAGCAAATCCGTTAAAACCAACATCGCGCGGAATTTCCTACAGCTTCGCGATAAACACTTCCCACCTACAAGTCCTTTGCACAAAATATTCAACCGTAACACAGTCAAAGTTAGCTATAGCTGCATGCCTAATGTAAAGAGCGTTATATCTCGCCACAACAATTGCATCCTGTCAAAACCCACAACTACGTACCCCACCAACATCAGATAATTGCAACTGTAATAACCAGAGTGAATGCCCTATTAAGAAAAACTGTAAATCTAAAAACATTATTTACAAGGCCCAAGTTACATCGATCACCCGACGACGGTGTCATAAAATTAAAGAGTATATAGGAATGACGGCGACTACTTTCAAACGAACGATATGGAAATCATAAGAAATGCTTCAAACTTCAAAGATATAAAAACGATACAGAGCTGTCAAAGTACATCCGGGAGCTAAAGAGTAATAATAAAGATTACACCCTAAAATGGTCAATTCTGAAGCGGGCAGGCGCATACTCATCTGGTGCAAAGCGTTGCAATCTCTGCATAGAAGAAAAACTCTGCATAATGGATGCAAACAAACATTTAACACTGAACAAAAGATCCGAGATATTCGCAAAATGCCGACATCGCGAGAAATTTTGGGCGGGAAATTTTGAACGCGCGTGCGAATAATGACGGTGCACGTCAGCAAATTATAGATCACGCCATTATAACGAACTCTGAATTTAATCGCCTGAAGTTTGCCACAAATAGTGGCATGAAACTTAAAGTAGCGAGAAATTGAAACATTTTAAGATAACAAATTTTTTATATATATATATATATATATGCATAAATTCGTTTGAGAATCATTTCGCTGTGAAAGTCATACGATGGAGTGTCTGCATGGAAAAGCCGCATATTACAATTTATTGGAAGGAATATATGCGAAAGCAGTCGCACAAGAAGTTGAAAAACTTTGTGTGGAATCCTGTAATTGTTGTTAAGTCGGTCATCTTAGTCAAGGGGAACATGACTGCCTCGTGATGAACGAAAACGAACGATGGCAAATGTATGGTTTACAAGCGATCGAACGAGTGATTGCTAAGCGTATGGTTTGGAGTGGATTCACTGAGGCAATGAGGGTACTAAAACTGGCAGTTGACAGAGATGTACTCGAACATTTACAGCAAGTGGAAAAAGATCCAGATTCTAAGTTTGTCGATTCATTGACGCAACTACATCAAAACACTGAGAACCACGAACTACAATGTATACTGAAGTATTTGTTTCATTGGAGATTAGAAGACCCTCTCGTGTCAGCAGCTGCCGGAAACGTTTTCTCTCTTACCCACCTACAATCAGTTTCAAAAGTCTTGGGACAGATGCTACAAAACCTTTGAATTTCAACAAACGTCAATCCTCCCCGCCCCCTGTTCAATGTTGCAATTGTCTCCCATTTCTCGTCCGGTTTGATGTGTTTTGGTTGGAGCAACATTGATTGGGGTGGGGGGAGGGGGAGGGGAGCGGTATTGTGTGTAAAAAATTGTAATGATCCACTTACAATCTAAAACTACATGTGTCCCAACAACTTCTGAAAGTGATTGTAGTTACATATATTCTGTGAAGGCGACGGGTGAACGATTTAGAAGTTTTGAGGCAGATCATAAGAAAGCTTATCAAGAGCTCTTGGAGAAAAAAACTTGTAGAACAAGTCTTAGCTGTAATATTTTTGGTTTAAAATAATAAATGTATTTTCACAAGATTCTGTGTTGTGCTATTATTAGGTGACAAATGGACAAAAGTTAAGGTAATTAAGGGATTAAAGCGGACAGGAATTTGCATAGATAGAGATATAATTACGTGTTTGAAGTAAACACAGTTTATTTGATTTTCATGTCAAGCAAACTCTAATGCCTTAGTGGCCGAATGCTATGGAATTGGAGTTTGTCCCAAAATAAAGGGGTTCGAATCCCTCACAGGCGAGTTCTCACATGGCAAATTTTTTATCGAATTATATAACAGAGTTATACCCGTATATTCGTTCGGAAGAGATAAGTCGCGTATAGCAGATAGATTTACTACGAGGGCGTAGACAGTAAAATCAGGAGCGTGGCTTTGCAGGCAGAAATTTCCAGAGGAATTTAGATTTAAAACACAATTATTTCTTCAAAATGTTTTACAAAATTTAGCATGGTCTACTTCTAAGAGCGTGCTTTGCAGGCAAAAGTTTGCACAAAATTTCAGTTTTAAAATACATTTATTTCTTCAAAACGTTTTACAAAATTTAGTAAGGTCTACTTCTGAGAGCATAACGTTTGGGTGTTTTTGTTATATCGTTATTTTTGTTTTGGAATATATTTTGGTCTGTCGCTCAATATAACACGTTCATAATCCTCTCTTGCTTCCAGAGTCATTCGTGCTAGGTCACGTTCGGTCCAATCTGCTGGGTCTACCCAATTGTGGAAAAAGTTGCGCTTGAGTTTTGGTCGTTCCTCTTATGTTGATGGCGGTGTAAGGAAATTTGGTTTAGGAGTAGCAGGCACTGGTGGTGGTATTTCCGATGGTACAGGAGTATGAGGCACTTGTGGTGGTATCCGAGCAGAAACACGAGTAGCAGACACTAGTGGAGTTCTCTGAACAGGGGCTTCGTGACTGGAATGAGAAACTGGAATATCCATCTTATTTTTGAATATGAGAAACCGACTTAGTTGATCAGAATATAACTTGCTTTTTTCCACGGCGGGAAGTTGTGGTACTTCCATGATTTCTTTCATTCTCTCATTTCTCTGTTCGGCATCATACATTGCATTTACAAGCGGTGGTTGATGATCCGACTGTTTGTGTAAAAACTTTGCAATCTCTCCCGGTAGTATGTTGATCTTAAGTCGACATTGATCATTTGTTGTTGGCTTTAAATCTAACATCAAATATCCATGAGGTTGGCTCGTAGCAATGTAGCATCTTCGTAACTCGTCAAACATTCTTGCACTCTTCCGGGATTTATTTGCCTTGCAAGCATAGAAATTTGCTGTTTATTTCTTGGTGACTTGAACAGCACAATATAGTGAGCGTTAAGGCTGATATTTCTCATCTCTTTGACCTGATGAAATACATTTTGAACAATATAGATAATAGACAAATTTCGGTGATGACTTCCTTTCGCAAAAAGATCAGCTATACGTTTGTCTAATTGTCTTTACCAGATTGTGCCATAAGATCGTCTAGAATGATTAAATTCCGTTGAGATATGTCCAAGTAATCCACTTTGTCGACATCGTCGGGGATGCCTTTATTAAACTCGATTCCAGGCATTGGCATTGTTTTCAGCATGTCAAAATAGGATGGTTGCTACTGACCATAACACCAGATGATACGTTGAGGAGATGGACTTATAGTTTTTTCTCCAAGAGAGATTTCAGCCATACAGTCTTGCCGCTTTGGGTACATCCTTCAACGATGCATGTAAATGGGTGTTGCAAAACTGCAGATCCTGCGGAGATTTTAACTGGTTTGCTTTGAACATTTCCATGGGTATTCAAAGTATGACGCTTGAGGTTGCCGCGTGTTGAAAATACTTTGGCACATATATTGCACGGAAAGGACATGTTCGCACCACGAACGTTTAGCTGTAACTGATAATAATTTGGTGTGTTCGTTCTATATATTCATTTATGCATCTATCCAGTATTTTTCCTTGTCTTCCTTATCTTTATCTTCCTTATAATTATCTTGCTTATCTCTATCTTTATCTTCTTCCTTCCTTATCCTTATCTTCCTTATCTTTATCTTCTTATCTTCCTTATCGTTATCTTCCTTATCCTTATCCTTATTGTTATCTTCTTATCTTCCTTATCGTTATCTTCTTATCTTCTTTATCGTTATCTTCCTTATCTTCTTCCCTATCCTTATCCTTTTCTTCTTATCTTCCTTATCTTTATCTTCTTATTTTCCTTATCTTTATCTTCTTATCTTCCTTATCGTTATCTTCTTATCTTCCTTATTGTGATCTTCCTTTTCTTCTTCCTTATCCTTATCTTTATCTTCTTATCTTCCTTACCTTCTTATCTTCCTTATCTTTATCTTCTTATCTTCCTTATCTTTATCTTCCTTATCTTCTTCCTTATCCTTATCTTTATCTTCTTATCTTCTTTATCTTCTTATTTTCCTTATCTTTATCTTCTTATCTTCCTTATCGTTATCTTCTTACCTTCCTTATCGTGATCTTCCTTTTCTTCTTCCTTATCCTTATCTTTATCTTGTTATCTTCCTTATATTTATCTTATTACCTTCCTTATCGTTATCTTCCTTATCTTCTTCCTTATCCTTATCTTCATTTTCTTATCTTCCTTATCTTTTTCTTCTGATCTTCCTTATCGTTATCTTCCTTATCTTCTTCCTTATCCTTATCCTTATCTTTATCTTCTTATCTTCCTTATCTTTATCTTCTTATCTTCCTTATCTTTATCTTCTTATCTTCCTTATCGTTATTTTCCTTATCTTTATCTTCCTCATCTTCTTCCTTATCCTTGTCCTTATCTTTATCTTCTTATCTTCCTTATCTTTATCTTTGTATCTTCCTTATCTTTCTTGTCCTAAACCTTATCTTTATCTTCCTTTATATGAAGACGGTATTGGAAATTATAAGTATATATTAAGGAAGATAAAGGCAACAAAGTGGATTTTATGATCCGTCATCTTACGATATTATTCAATAGCTAGGAGTCTGACTCTATAAAACTAGGAGTCTGATTCTAGAGCCCGAAGTCTGAGTCTACAGCTAGGAGTTAACGTTCGATAGGCTCGGCAAGTTCGATAGGCTCGGAGCCGAGCTCTCAATAACTCGGAGCCTAGTCTAAATCATCTTGGAGCTTAGTCCAAATAGCTTTTCACCTGATACTTCTCTTTTTCTCTTCCAATATAAGCCACCTTTTTATCCTGTTTTACTCATTTGCTTCCAAGCTTTCGAACAGAAATGATCAAACTACTAAGGCACAAGCCATTTCTTGAACTGCTGGGCACGTCTGAGCCTGATCAACAACAAGCGCTACTGGAAACAGCAACCGCCGCGCAAGAACACTGCCTGTGTCTTTGTGCAGAAAATTTTATGAAAAGAAAATATTTAATGCCGAAGTATGTAATGAAGAAACTCCAACCTTACAAACGTACATGAAATGCTTAAGTTGGTAGATAGAGGAAAACATGGAAGAAGAAAATTAAAAAACAAATACTCGTTCAACATAGTAACGGTTTCCTTGGACTATTACTAAGTCCTATTTTGGAAAGCCTGGCTGAACTTGTACAAAAGCCCTGTGACTGAAATTTATACATCATCTCAACAATGAACCTCGACGCTAAAACATCTCTGCGACATTGGCGCATTCAGGATGTACTTTTGTATCTCAACAATAATGTCAAAAAACCTACAGCAGAAAAAATTCTACATTCTTTTCTTATATCAAGCGATATTTTAACTTGGAATACTCAGGGGGAGATTGTTTATCATGGAACAGACAATCCTGATACTAACATTGACAACCTTTTACAAGATGCACTTTTACCATACAACTCTATACTTTTACGACTTTACCAAAACTCATAACTAATAAATCTAATTCTTTATATACCTTTAAAAATATTTACTTGACTACTACCTCTCTGTTTACAATTTAACTATAACATAGATGATCCTTGTTCGTGGAAAACAACTTGTTTAAAGTGTAATCAGACTCATGATCTCACTAAACCTCTTGCATGCTGTTTTTAAATGATAATTGTTTAAGAGACAATCTAAATGCTTTTGTATAGTCTAAGATAATTTGTTTGTTGTCTAATGGGATCACAGTAATTGGCCAAAAGCTGTAGTGAATACCCTGTCACAATTGTTGTAAATTGTTGTATTGTTATATCTAGTGCATTTCGAGTTATCTTGCATCTACGGTTTTCATGTCTGTTTTAATATGGTCTTAACAGTTTGTTAGTCTTGGAAAACGATATATGCAGGGATAGCTCGGAATGTGTTATAGTCATTATAGTATTTAGATATGTAATTTATATTGTGACGAAGTTTATAAAATTAAAAAAAATTATAAAATTCCTGAACCACGAGGGATCGACCTGTTTATGAAGGGCCTAGGAGAAGTAGGAATTAATAAAGATTTAATTGAATTATTCATGTTTCGCTCGCTACTCTGGTTTAAATAAATGATTACAAAGCCCAGTCGAATTGTAATCAAGACCCAACGTTTCGACACTCCAGTCTAGTGTCTTCATCAGGGGTGATCTAAAATTGCAATCGTGACTTCTTAAATACCCAAGGGATGACGTCACCTGCCAATGAGATGCATATATTCCTCTGGCAAATAGGCACCGTCATCCCTATTCAAAGCATGATTACTCATATTTATATTCCACGATTCTAAGCAAAGTCTTTGACTATAACGATTGTTTGTGGTAATTACTTTAGAGTTTTCCCACGCAATCTCGTGTTTGGTGTAACATACATGTTCAGCTAAAGCTGATTTTCCCTTGTCTAAAGTTGAAACAGCCTTTTGATGTTCTTTTAGCCGTGTACCAAACTGGCGTTTACACTGACCCAAATACTCTTTCTCGCAGTCACCGCATGTTATAGAATATACAGCATGAATTTTCTGATTTGTTTTAACAGGATATTTTGGTTTCTGAAAGTGACGTTGAAAGCGAATCTGGTGAAGAGTGATAAGGAAAGCGAATATGATGATCATGATCATGATGGTGATGATAATGAGGATGATGATGATGATTATGAGTCCGAGAAACTGACTTGTAACCACTGTGGAAAAGAGACTGGTCACATTGTATACTTAATGAAGTGCACGTGTCTAAGATGTTCGTGGAAAGATTTTTACTGGAGCAAAGATGCTCAATGTATGATATGTAATGAACAGTCACCTTCACTGTTTTCACATGTCATTGGTTTCTGTTCCGTTACGTTCGTATGGTACGTCTAACAACGAGGCAGGTGGAGTGGAGTTCACCAACCTCGTCCCCAGAGTCTTCCTCGTGGTGGCGCGTGAGCTGAGGAAGACCCTGGTAAAATACGATGAAATCTCCAAGATTCTTGGAAATTTATCGCATGCGCAGTAACGACAACGTTATGTTGCTGACTACAATTAGCGCTGGCGCTTACGATTTTCTTGCTTAAAAATATACATGTTTTGTTGATTGTTTATGGATTTATTCTCAAAGTTTTAACAACTTTTACGAAAAATACTTCAGATATAAGCTGTGAACACACATGCACACAAAACTGTGCAACATTCATCATCATATTGTATCAATTTGTCGGAGTATGGCGCTCAAATTTGTGACATTGTTTTGTTCGCTTTGGCAACCCTCGTATATATCAGATGCTGTTCTAGGCCGTATTCTGTGGCCGCTTATCGTTCAGTTCCGCTGCCCCCATTCGGGGTCTACTTTTAGTTTACATGAATCTATAGATTTTGATACGCTGAGTACGAATTCAGTTGTTGTAACTCGCACAAACCTGCAGTTTTTTTGTATTTTACGATCAAACATCAACATTTTTTATTAAAATTTCCGCCATTTTGTTCAGGAAACTTCATGTTATTTACAGTTATTGTACTAGTCCAAGTCTCTTAGCAGGGGGGTTGCACGCGGTATTACGCAGTTTGTTATCATTCTTCTGAGAAAAATATACAGAAATGAAATAAAAATATAGATATTTTTTCACAATATAAATGCAAAAGGTACTGGTACATGTTTGTAAATAATTAGGAATTAATCTATTATTCTTTATTGCATCAACTTTTGTTTTTTTTGGCTAATCATGATGTGAAATTGCAAAGACTGTCACTATATCCACAAAGACTCTCACAGCTAGTCTCACTTGTCATTGGTAAAGTTGTTTATTTTATTTATTACTGAAATTATGTGCATAATTTTGGCCTTGCAATATGAATAGCCAGAATAGGCAATTTTTCTTTGAAATTTTTGTCAACAATGAATAAGGAGCACAATATATTGTTCAATAAATGTTAGACCTATTTGTAGACCATTGCCCATCGAATTATTAGTAGCAGTTGACCTCAATAAAATTAACTCATCTATTTAATAAATCTGCACATAATTAGTTCCATTTTCTTGTATTATAATAACATTTTTCCTATATTATGGGACATTGAGCTTTATAAATAAAAACTTTTGGAAGATGGCTTTCACTCTCTGACAGACAGGCTACTTTTTGTCTGTTTATATGGAGTTAACCCAACCTAGATTAGCTATATTTCTTTAATTACTTTATTGTTATTTAAGTATTTACATTAGCAAATGGTGGCTGCACAGGACATAGCCCCAATTATTACAGCTACAATATAACAACCGGCCTAGCTTGGTTTTTCAATTTCTGTGAGACTGTTGAGGCAAGCATGGGCGTGCTGGAACAATTAAAGCAGCTGAGCAAAAAACTATATTCACACAAGCAAATCTCAAAGTCATGCCACCTAGAAACATTAATTGATCGATCCATTTGAGGTTTAAATGTGTAAAAAAATATTAAATACAACAAATTGTCATGATCCATCATCACCTGAAGCTCTAATCCTATTTGAGCTGCCATTAATTAGCAACTGAACTACTGGAGATTCAGGGATATTTTATACTTGACCAGGCAGACAATAGAAATTTAAAGTAATCTGGCATCACTACCTACCAATATGTCTTAGTTATATAAACCTTCTTTCCTCTTGGGCTGGCCTGCCTGGCCAAGACTCTTTTCCAAGCCTTAGATCTTGGATAACAGCTGGGCATTAAATAATTAATACATAATTCACATCAATCTATTGATATAAATAACATTTCTTTATTTTCTTAGGGGGTGTTTATATATGGAGGGCAGCCAACCCAGATACCCGAGCTAGCTTGCTTTGCCGAGATCTAACATTGCTACGTAATTTATACTAACATTTATCTTGTGTTTAAATGGGAACCGAGCTGGCCTGCCTAGGTGAGATCTTGGAAAATAAAATATATTTACTTATATTATACTATTTATAGTGGTAAGACCAGTGATTTGTTTTGGCAAGACAGACCACCTCAAGGGTCTAATGTAAACATGAGATAAAATCAGCTCAGCAAAGAGAGCTAGCTCGGGTGCATGGGCTGGCTCACCTCCATATAAACACCCCATTAGAAGATTTCAAAGTTAAAATTTATTTTGAAATCTCTTCTGAGGGATAAAACCTTCAAAACTTTATTGTTGACAAAAATTTCAGGTAGACAGTATTCAGGAAAATTGCCTTTTCAAATTGTAAGGCCAAAATTATGTACATAATTTCAGTAATAAATAAAATAAACAACTTTACCAATGAAAAGTGAGAGTCTTTATGGATATAGTGACAGTCTTTGCAATTTCACATCATGATGAGCCAAAAAAAACAAAAGTTGATGCAATAAGGAATAATAGATTAATTCCTAATTATTTACAAACATGTACCAGTACCTTTTGCATTTATATTGCGAAAAATATCATATTTTTATTTCATTTCTGTATATTTTTCTCAGAAGAATGATAACAAACTGCGTAATACCGCGTGCAACCCCCCTGCTAAGAGACTTGGACTAGTACAATAACTGTATATAACATGAAGTTTCCTGAACAAAATGGCGGAAATTTTAATAAAAAATGTTGATGTTTGATCGTAAAATACAAAAAAACTGCAGGTCTGTGCGAGTTACAACAACTGAATTCGTACTCAGCGTATCAAAATCTATAGATTTATGCAAACTAAAAGTATTCCCCGAATGGGGGCAACGAAACTTGTTTTCTAAGCGACTTTTGGGGTCACAGAATACGGCCTATTCGGCCTCAAATGCGATTGAATAAATACTGATAGTGTTGCCTGGAATATGAAATGATATTGACTTATTGTTCTGTATATCAAGGTATGTAATGTACATTTATACTGAATTTATTCGATTTTTTTCACACGTTGCTTTCACATTTTCTCAGAGTCTCGGAAATCACATTTTCTAATAAACTCAGTTTCACACATACAGCAAGACTTCATTTCACACATACAGAAAGACTTCTTCAGAAATCACAGTTTTTAACATATAGAAAAACTTCATATTATCTCATCAGTTAATCAAATTATGATAACAGTACGTAGTAGAAATGCTTAGAAAGATTTTATTCTGTTTTCCATATACAGTGTACAACTGTTATTTCAATTTTCTCTTTCCTATATTTTCTTTAAAGCAGGTATTGTTCTGTTACAAAACAACTAATAAACATTTTATTATTTTAACAGGTGAACCATATTTTACATGAACTTGGGGAAAAAACAACTTGAATTCCATGGAAATATATATAATCATGTCATCAATCAGATAGTAAACAATCATTAAGATGGCCTCAAGATTATATTTCACAGTGACCAGTTGATGGCATTATAGCTTTCTAATGCTATATAATTTTGTTCATCAAGGTGAAGAAACCTTAACTCACTATACCTTTTCCTGTTACAGAGCTATGGTAGTAATCTTAGAAGATTTTCATGATCCCTCTATTCAGTAGTTCTTTAACCAGTCTAGTATTATGACTGTATTATGTTAAATAGCCTTGTGTGACTTTTGTATTTTGTTTCTTTAATAATACAATCATTTACAATGATCAAAATTACAGTTTAATCTTTGTATTTCTAATGATAATTACTTTCACATATCCATCACACTTCTCTGTTACTATTAAACTTATTACTATATCATGCAAGTAAAATCTCTTGGGAAAAATAAAATGTTGTCCAAGGATAGTCATAAATATCAGCTAGTAAAACTAATGAATATACCTGTAATCATGTACATATGACTATCATATATTATGTTGTAATTCCTTTAAGTGTTTCCAATTAAATAAATTTCTATTTTCAGTTGTTCATTGTTCAAACTAATTTGAAACCTACAGTATATGTAGTTGCTATGATTCAGATTAATATCCAAAAGTGTGCCTTTTACTTCAGTCCT